AAACTTTCATTTTTGACAATAAATTGTTTTTAGACCAATGAGTTTAATCGATCTTTGATAGGTCCATATTATAGTTCTTTTTTGCACTGAAAATCATTTATGACATATAGAAGTTATTGTTTATATAATTATTGGATTTTTTCTAAATTTTCAATAAAAAAAAAAACATAGACATATAGAAGTTATGTGTAATTGGATATATCATAGTGGTCCAAACTATTTGGACAGCCTATGAAAATTGTCAAAAAGTTTGGATGGATACTACCAAGTCATTGACCTATACTAGCAATAAGAAGATTTTAGCAAGCTACCACTTGTGCCCCATCCCATGCTTGTAGATATGATACAACACGCCCCATATTAGACATATCATGCCCACAAAAAATGAAGAATTTAAATTACATCAAGTCCAAGCTTTTGGGTTGGGCCTAGCAAATTTTCAACCTGAGCCCATCCAAGTTGTACCCCTAACCTCTAACAAGTAGACTTGTTCATGGGTCGGGTGGCCCGACGGGCCAACCCGGCCCGTTTCGACCCCTGGACGGGCTTGAGCATGTGTTTTAGCCTGCGGGCTTGACCTCGGGCCTAAAAGCCCGAGCCTGACTATTTTACGGGCCGAGCTCGGGATTTGTTAAAAAAGCCCGGCCCAAGCCCGGCCCGACTTTTCCTAAACTACCTAACCCTAATCCTAAATACTTAAAATTTTTCTTTTCATTCTCCTTTCTCACTCTCACTCTCAGAAGCGGCTCTCATTTCTCCCTCTCAACTCTCAGAACCGGTGAACCCAACTGCACCTGCGAACTCAGTCACTGACGGCCGACTCCACCAAAACTAGTCATCTCTCTCTTTGGCGATGATCTCTCTCTCTCTCTCTCTCTAGCTGGCACCGTTTTCATCTTCTTTCTTTTCATTCTCAGTTCTCTCTCTTCTTAGAACTAGGTCTTCTATCTTTTCAGTTCTCTCTCCAACCGGCGCCACCAAAACCCAGGTGCACCGTTTTCATTCAGCGAACTCAAGCACCGCCGCACCGGCGGCTAGCATCACCAGATCTAGATCGTCTCTCTCTCTCGAGTTGTGAGCTCTCTTTCTCTCTCTCTCTCTAGCCGGCACTGTTGTCATCTTCTATTTTCTCACTTTCTGGGTTTCTATTCTCACGCTCAGACTCCTAGGAATCGGCGAACTCAACAGGCACCATTCTCTCAAACGGCACCGGCACTCAGACTCCCGAGTCAGGCTTTGGGCTCGGGCCCAGACTTTGGGCTTTTTTGAGGGCCGGGCTCGGACCGGGCTCGGGCTCGGGCCTAAAAAGTTTATGTTAATAAAGAGCAAAAGCCCGGCTTGAGCCCGGCCCGGCCCGGCCCATGAACAGGTCTACTAACAAGTAATAATTATATGGGAGGGAGAATGAAAGTTAGATACTCCATTTGGACAACACACAAAAAAAATTGTAGGGTTGCAAATGGTATTAAATTTTGCGAATTTGAATTCAAAATTTAATACCATTACCATTTATAATTGGATCAAATATGGGTCCATCCCTATCTGATCTATTATAACCTGATTCGAATATGGATCCAACTTTATCTATGGATGTTAATGGATCAGGTTTGGTATGAATTTGCCTTCACCCTAATCTAACCCTCCAGCCTCCAATGCACCCACCCGGATCTGATATGATTGACTTAATAATATACATTTTTTTTAAATCTACCCTAACATTATAGGATTCAACTCAATACCAAACCTAACTCGACCCACAAATTTTTATAGGGTTTTTACTGTTTAGTCCACCCCCAGAAATTTTAGTTTTATCGTACAATTGGGGTAGGTGCCAGCTCAAAATTGATGCCAATTTACGAGTTGGGTGTTATAGGTGGAGGTATTTATAATTTTGAATTGTTGTAGGTCTGCAGTTAAATTCAGAATTATGAGGTGGAGTGCAATCAATTTCACAATTTTCAATTAAATTTTTTTATAACACACTTCAAAACACAAGAACTGGTATAACAAAACCCTAGCTGACCTTGACCTAAGATATAGGATTGGATCAAACCGGTTTACCTTTAACCCAACCCATTTGCATCCCTACATCTATCACTAAAATTGGTTTAAATGTTGTAGTTGTGCTATACTCATTCAAGTTTGTAAAAGTTACAATGTGAAAGTAATTGTTAATTCATAATCTTATTAATAGTATATAATATTTTGATCATTTTTTAATTTATTTATTAATGGTATTTGATGAAGGGTGATTTGGCCCAACCTAGTGAAAAGGGGACACGTGGACGCTATCTGACTAAGAGATGACAGCTCAGCCTGACATGCCTAGTTCACAACAGTTGAGCTCGGACACCCAACCACCTCGACACAGGGTCACTTTGGCATTTAGTCCAGTTCGGAACTAAAAAGTATCAGCTAGGGGATACCGATCCAGACCACTACATGACGACCCCGGAAATCTCTCCAACAGAATCCAAACCCCGCGGGATCACACCGCATAAGGGCAAGCCTTATCTCCTCCCCGCCCGATTCGGGAGGAATTGATAAGCTTTATTAGTTGATAGCGTTATCTCCCAACTAAAGCGGAAACGAATCCCATTGTAACGGAGACCACGGAACCGACCCGCAAAACCCGTGAGGACTCAACTATATAAAGGCTCCAACCTCGAGGGCACAAGGTACGCGTGATTTCTCTGCTCTCTAGCTCTCTAGCCCTCTACATTCTCAAAGCTATTCAACTCGCAACAACTTACTAACTTAAGCATCGGAGCGACCTCGCCGGGCTAGCCACACCGGGTTCTCTGATCTTGTTCTGCAGATTTGATTAGCTCATCGTCCGATTGGAAGCCAGATCACCCTCCAGTAGGGAGCAGTCAGATCGCGTTACATCAATTGGCGTCGTCTGTGGGGTGACAATCAAAAAGCCTTCTTCACAATCAACAACTCATCTGAAATCAATGACATCTTCCAGTCACGTCGAACAGAGCACTGAAATGAACGTCTCTGGGGGGCAATCTCAATTTCCATCAGTGTGCATTGGTCAGTTCACCATACCGCTTACTACGGTTGGGGTCCCAACACTGACCGCGCCACAAAACGCTACACAGGTGAACACCTCGCTCCCTCCAGTGGTGAACGCAACCTTCGCTGAACCGTTAGTGGTTCTCCCCGGAGTCGGGCAATCCCAATTCGACGACCTAACACACTACGTGCGGGCCATTCAAGTCAAAATGCAATAGGTCTAATAGTTCTAGCAATACCAGCAACATGTATTACTAATATTACCGACAGTAATTCCCTCCACTACCGCAAAGCCAACAGTCGGTTCAACATCCGATTGCAACCCAAATTTAATTTGAAACCTAACAAAAAAGATTTGATTCGATCAGGTCCACTTGCAGCCTTAGGCTGCATTGGAAACGATGTAAATCAAGATCGACATAAATATTTATGCTAGTTTAATTTTATTGGCGTTTGAAAGGAATGTAAATCAAGATCAACGTAAAACTCCACTCGATTTAGATTTATCAGTACTTGGGGAGTGGAGTTTTACCTCATAAATCGATTTAAAATCTCATCACATTGTAAAGTTTTACGTCAATCGATGTAAATGCTATTCCACACTTTTTGAATTCATGCTTTTCAAACTTAGCGATCACTTTTTTACGGTTTGGTGTAAAACCTCATTGATGTACTTTTACACCGATGAGGTTTTACGCCAATTCCAAATAAAGCCTTTGGAATGGGATTTGATCCGTCCCTGCAACCTGCATTTGATCCTCCAAACCCGATCCAAGCGGGTATAATGAGTTTTGCATAGACTGCGTTTAGTTGCAATGCAATTTTATTTACACTAACCTAAATGCAAATGAAAAGAATGCGAGTTCTTGTTTAATTTTGTTTTGCTTTAGGGTAAATTACAAAGACCCTAATTGTATTATGGGGTCAATTCCCTTTTAATTAATTAATTAATTATTTATTTATTTATCTATTTTGCGTTAAAGACACCCTTGTACTTTGGCCATTAGACAAAAACCCCTTGTCTGTCAATCAACTCAAAAAAAGATTCTCATTTAACTGTTTATATTTTTTTAAATTCTTTAATTACCCTTTCCATATTTATTAGAACGGTGAGAAGAGATCACCCACATGGTAACACTGTTGATTGCTAGATCTTGAACAGTGGTTAGGATACAGTAGAAGGGGGAGAAGAAACGAGGGAGAAGAAACAAGGGAGAGAGGAGGAGAAGTGTCGCCGGGTGCCGCAGAGGACCGATATATTGGGAGCCCGATCGCTGATTTTCTTGACTGTAATTCATTCATCATGCCAAACCAGGTTTTTCTCGGATACCATGGAGAGAGAGTATCAGATATACTCTTGTACTAAGCGGAGGGCAACTGCTTGGTGCTTCCAGGTCTCGCTATGTTTTCGAACGTCATATCCCGAACAATGAACCCATTGTCGGTGATCCCTGAAGATGGAAGAAACTTTAAGCCATTGCCGCTGTGTTTTTAACTTTAACCTGTCTACTCAAATTGTATACTGCGGATGGAAGAAGAAATTTCTTTAGGCAAAATTGTTTTCAAAACTTGGAGCGTAGCTCAAGTAGTCCAAGCAGCTTCAAAGGGGGTCCTAGAATCATAACACACTACTCTGCAAACGTTAGGTTACTCCTGCTTCGTTTTCAGAGTTAAAGATCTCATAATTAATAAATTTCTTATTAACGGTTGGTACAATAACGGAACTCGGCTTTGTAAGATCGAATGGATATTAAAGGTTTACTTTGATCGGATGTTTTTAAGAATTATTGGATTTGAGTTGATAATTTTAGAAAAACAGGTTGTTTTAAGAGAAAAAGGCAATGAACAGAAAATACAGAAAGTTTTGATGGGTATTTTGGTAATTTAAATATATTTCGTTAGGGAACTTTGTAATTTACCCTTTACTTTATTTAAGATTTGAAACAAAAATAGATTAAAATTTGGACCTTAATCATTTGCACTACCGTAATTTTGCATCAGTGCAAATAAAATTTGCATTGCAACCAACCGCAGGTCCGCAGCCATATGGAATGAGATTCTAGGGTTTGAAAATCTTGGATACGTTTGCATCTGATGAAAGAATCGGGGGAGTGTCTGGGGTTGTTCTCTCTGCAACCGAAAGAGTATCAATTTCGGATCCAGAGGCCGAACATGGCGACTCTTCCAGGTACCACTTATTGGTTTATTGTTTTATATTTCCCCCCCTCTCTATAATTGGGAATTGGGGATTGGTTTCATGTTTTAAACATCTTCTTGAATTCAGAAGAAATGCTCGTTCTTCGTACTGTGCTAAAGAGAAAGAAACTTTTGAGGGTTAGCACTGGAAGCACGAAACCTGCAAGAATAAAAAGAGGTCCCTTTTAGCTTTCATTGTTTTTCCAATTCATCGTATCCTCAGTGTTATCCAGAGATGGAAGAGAGTCATTCCAGTTTTACCCCAGAAATTGGACCAGATAACAGGAAGATCAAGCTAAATGTTGGTGGTAAGCTATTTGAAACCACTGTTTCAACAATCCAAGCCGGTGGTCCCGATTCTACTCTTGCAGCTCTAGCAGCTCGAGAGGCTGATGATTCAAACCCAGTTTTTATAGATCGGGACCCTGAAATTTTCTCAGTCCTTCTTTCTGTTCTCCGTTCCAACCGGCTTCCTTCTACTGCTCGTCGATTCTCCAAACAAGAACTTGCCGACGAAGCACTATATTATGGCATTGAGTCCCGCCTCAAATCAGTGATGGCGCCATCCCCACTTATTGGAATTGATGCCTCACTCGTTGCCACAATCCGACCCGCTGCCGATGGGTTTTCATCTTCTTTCACTGCTGGCGCCGGTGATGGTTCTGTCTGGATTGCCCATGGTGGTCAGATCTCCAGCTACGACTGGAATTTGACACACACCGGAACCGTACGGACACACCTCGAGCAGATCACATCAATTCGGCATGTATGGCCAGAGACTGCTGCCATTGGATCTGAGACTGCCGCTGGCCTCCACTTCTACGATTTCTCTGGTGGGCGCCATGTTGGGTCAGTCCACTGGACAGATCCATCAGATCCCCGCATATACAAAGGGCGAATCATTGCAATTGCTGACTCAATTAACTCAGTCTTTGCCTCGTTCGAATGCCAACACAGAGAGAATTGTATCCTTGTGATAGACAAATCAACACTCCAGGTCAGGTCGGAGATTGGTCGCCTATCTGGGAATTCCACCAAAAACATGGTTCCAAGAAAATTAATTTATCTCCCAGAGTCTAGTGTTATTGTCTCCAGCGCAGTAAGTTCTGGTGCGTTTGGCTTCTCTGGTTACATTAAGCTTTGGGACACAAGATCAGGCGAGATGGTTTGGGAAACAAATGAACCAGGCTCAGGTCGAAGCAACAGGTTTGTGGACTCCTTTGCTGATGTGGATGTTGATATAGAAAAGTCTGCCATCTTCAAGGTGTGCTCAAAGTCAGGCGACATAGGGGTAGCTGATTTACGCAATTTGAGTGATGATCCCTGGGTTTATTTGGAAGACAACAATCCAGGTATCAGAAATTCAGTTGGAGTAGGGAATAGCATAATAAACTGTTACAGAGGCCAGGTGTTTGTGAGTAAAGATGGAGAGCTGGAGGTATGGTCTCGCATCAAGGAGAGAGAAGGAATGATAGAAAATGTATTTGAGCAAGGGTCATATAGAAGGAATTTTGTAGATAAGGTAGAGGACTCAAAGAGAGGGATCATAAACAGGATGGAAGGTGGAGGAGATAGATTGTTTGTCAGTCGAGAAGATGTGGAAGGCATTGAGGTCTGGGAGAGCTCTAATATTTCAGGTGCTACTTCACTTTGGTAATGTGAAATTATGAGATTATTAAAGCTATGTTGTTTATAGATTTAGACAAAGCTGAATGAATATAATGCCTTCTATTTCATGACATGGTTTTGTTATTGATGAAGAAGATATGGTTCTTTTTTAAACCCATTTGTAGTTTGTAATTTGTACAGTGTATGCCATGCAGCTATCTGTGTTCGATTGAGACATGAACCAAGATGAATTTATCTCTGGTGTTAAACTATACAACATTCTCAGAAAATCAGAATTGTTGTTTCTTTCATATTTTTATTTCCCTTTTTATTTTTTGCCAAGATAGTGGAGTCTATTTCTTCTTAACAAAAACATAGTTCGAACATCAATAGCCATATATTTCCACTGTTATTTTATTTTATTTTTTTGGATTGTTTTGACCAAGAAAGAGCAAAAAGCTTTCCAAAATCAATCTGAAATATAAACCAGGTCTTGTCACTTCATATAAGGGCCATTACCCAATGTTGGTAATAACTTCCATCCATTAGAACTTGGGTTATTTACCACAGCTTCAAATACGACCTAAAGGATTGCAGTCAAACAATATTAAGTAGACAATCATATTCACCATCATCATCCAAGCCTTATCCCAACTATATGGTGTTGGCTACATGAATCCCATTTCACCATTCCATTCTATTTAATAATTAATTGACAATCATATTAACCAGCTTATTTCATGTATGACATCTGAGTAACAAAGTGGATATCAGTTTCCTTATGGTCAACAACAGCTTCTAACCTACACATGCGCCTTGGAAGTTAGAGAGTTTAACCCATCATTCAGCAGGTTGTATGATGGACAACTTGTCTCAAAGTGACATTTTTTCAAGGACGAATAACCATCTCCCCCAGAGGATCTTCCATTAAATCCTTTGTTATACTTCTTTTGACTGTCCAAATTGAAGGTCACATCTCAAATGTTTATGGGAACATCAGACTGGTTTTCTAAATTGGGACTACATAATAGCTGTCACACTTTGTTGCGTCTTCCTTTTAAATGTTCATTATAGTTCTACCAAAAAAAATTGCATGTTATTTTTATCATTTCTTCAGTTATTTCACTTATACATAATTTTGTAAGTGCACCAAATAAGAAATTACCAAGTACTCCTTTCATGGAAAATTTAATTTAAGATTTTTAAAGTTTTCATATCTCTAGATTCTTAATAAAAACATAATGTATTTATAAATCAAAATTTTCCATTTGGTAGTAGTAGCATCACTCCTTACCCAAACTTGTCCATCATGAACTAAAAATTTCTAGTCTATGCCCAGAGCTAAGTTGACACTTATGCTTGTCAAGCTTATCAGGTCTTTTATTAGGTTGCACAACTCAACAAATTTACATGTTATTAGTCATACTAGCGGGGACCTGTGCGATGCATGAGAAAATCTGAAAGATTTAATAATTTTATTTACTATTAATTAATATTAAATTAATAATTAAATTTTGTTGTTAATTATAGCTCAACAAATTTACATGTTATTAGTCATACTAGTGGGGACCCGTGCGATGCACGGAAAAATTTGAAAGATTTAATAATTTTATTTACTATTAATTAATATTAAATTAATAATCAAAATTTGTTGTTAATTAACTAAACGTATTCAAATTTATTGTTAATATCTAAAATTTTAACAATTATATTTTCATTTAATGTTCACTTACAAAAAATAATTATTGTTAATTTAATATGAATAAATATTTTTTTAATAAATTTAGTTTTATTAATAATTTATAGTAATTTTAATAATTATTTTTTTATTATTTTTAAATGAAATTTTGATTAACTTTAAATAAATAAAAATAATTACAAAAGAGAACATTTTTATTAATTTCACTAATAATTAACAATTATATAGGAATGACAACGGGGTGGGTTTAGGGCAGGGCACCCCACCCCTGTCCCTGCCCCATGGTCAAGACACTTTACCCCATCCTCACCCCGTCACCAGTGTTAGGCGGGTTCAAGGCAAGGCAATCACTCCTCAATGTCGGGCGAGTTCAAGGGCAAGGCACCACACTTCTCATCAAAGATGGGGAATCTTTGAATTTCCCTGCCCCGTCCCCAATATTGCGGGTTCAAGTAGAGGTGTAAATTAGGTCGTGCTGGACCGAGCCTTGGGCCAAGCCAGACCACGGATTGGGCCAACCTATGAAAGGCCCATTTTAAAAAAAAATGAAAAATATGTTTAAATTTTTATTTCATATGATTTTTTATGTATACAATTAGACCAATTCATGGGCTAGGTAGCCTGATGACCCGGCCTAACCCGTTATTTTTTAGGCTTGGACAAAATTTTAGGCTCGTGAGCTCGAGCTCGAGCTTTCTCAAATAAGCCTAGCCCGATACTATTACATATATAAAAAGGTACTTATGTTATATATAATAAATATAATATACATATATATATGCTTCTTAAATTATTAATAAATATCAATTTACTATTAGGAAATATAAATTAGTTTATTAATTTATTAAATTATTACTAAATTAATATAATATTAGTTTATAAAAGTATAATGAAAATAAGATATTTTGTGTACAGATCGGGCTTTGGGCTTTATATAAGGGCTGGGCTCGGGCTCAAGATCTAGGCTCGATGGTCGAACTAGTCTTGGGCTCGGGTTTACACATTTTCTGTTGATAAAGAGGCCCATGTTAATTATAAAACTATGATTTTTTACAAATTAAATTTTTTATTTAATTCTAGTCTAGTATAAAAAATATATAACATTTCTATATATATTAATATAAAATTTGTTATTTAAATATTATATAATAATATTTATCATATATGCATATAACTTCCAAGTTGAGCTTATTAGGGGCTGTTTAGCTTGGGCCCTATCTGCTAAAGCCATCATTGGACTCCAAAAGTTTGACACCCAGTTAGACTTTGAATTTGATTATCCCTTATAATGTGTGGGCATGGTGCATATCTCAACTAGACCTAAATCAAAAGAAAATAGTTGTTTGAACCTACAAATTTATAAATCTAATCGGGTTAGGTTAAGTTATAAACGATTTGTTACTTTTTATTATTAAATATTAAAATATTATAATTATTAAATTACTATATTTAATATTAAATATTAAATATTATAATTATTAAATTACTAATTTCTTGGCTAAAACTAATTAAATGTAATTTTTTGGTAATTAAATGTAATTTTCTACTATTTATAGCTTAAATTATAATTACTGTTAATTATAGTTTAAAAATAAATAGTGTTAGTTATATTATTATTAATAATTAAAATACATTATTTTTTCATTATTATTCAGTATTTTTTGCAATAAAATACAATTATTTTTAGTATTTTAATTAAGCTTTAGGTTTTTCAGAATTTTTGGTTTTTTAATTATTTTTTTGTGATTTTTCATTATTATTCATTAATTTTTCGCATGAGTATTTTTCAATAATTTTCAGTATTTTCATCATTTAATTTTGCATATTCAATACAAATTAATTCGCATTTGCTTTCAATAAAAAATGAATTAAATAACTAAATAAATACCATAGTTAATAAAAAATAATTTTTGGCTTGTGTATTTTTTTATATTTTTTAATAATAAAATACTTAATTATTTTCAGTAAGTACCCTTATTAATATAAAATATTGTTACTTTCTTGGCTAAAACTAATTAAATGTAATTTTGTGGTAATTAAATATAACTTTTTGGTAATTAAATGTATGTTTTCTACTATTTATAGCTTAAATTATAATTACTGTTAATTACAGTTTAAAAATAATTATTGTTAATTATATTGATATTAATAATTAAAATACATTATTTTTTCATTATTATTCAGTATTTTTTGCAATAAAATACAATTAATTTAATTTTTTAATTATTTTTAGTATTTTAATTAAGCTTTATGTTTTTCAGAAATTTTGGATTTTTAATAATTTTTGGTGTTTTTTTTCATTATTATTCAGTAATTTTTGCATATGAGTATTTTTCAATAATTTTCAGTATTTTCATCATTTATTTTTTCATATTAGTCACTACAAAATTAATTTCTATTTGGTTTCAGTAAAAATAAATTAAATAACTAAATAAATACCATAGTTCATAAAAAATAATTTATGGCTTGGGTATTTTTGTAATATTTTTTGGTATTTTTTAATAATAAAATACTTTTAATTGTACTCTTTAATATAAAATATTGTTAATTTCTTGGCTAAAACTAATTAAATATAATTTTCTAGTAATTAAATATAACTTTTTGGTAATTAAATGTAATTTTCTACTATTTATAGCTTAAATTATAATTACTGTTAATTACAGTTTAAAAATAATTATTGTTAATTATATTACTATTGATAATTAAAATACATTATTTTTTCATTAGTATTCAGTATTTTTTGCAATAAAATAAAATTAATTTAATTTTTAATTAATTTTAGTATTTTAATTAAGTTTTAGGTTTTTTAGATTTTTGAGTTTTTAATTAATTTTTGGCGTTTTTTCTTTATTATTCAGTAATTTTTGCATATGAGTATTTTTTCAGTATTTTCATCATTTATTTTTGCATATTAGTCACTACAAAATTAATTTGCATTTGTTTTCAGTAAAACTAAATTAAATAACTAAATAAACACCGTAGTTAATAAAAAATGCAACTACTTTTCAATATTTTTTAATAAGAAAATACTATTAATTGTACTTTTTAATTATTTTTAGTAAATACCCTTATTAATAGAAAATATTGTTAATTTTCAATAATTTTTAATTATTTTTGGTATTTTAATTATTTTTAGGTTTTTCAAAAATTTTCGGATTTTTAATTAATTGTTGGTATTTTAAAATTATCAATTAATTTTTTTATTAGTGTTTATTAAGGTCTCAACTCATAAGTTATCTATCAATTAATATTTTTTTAGCATTTATTAAGTTCAATTTTTAAGTGGAATTGAAACCCACTTTTAATATTTACTAAGTATTCTTAATATTTATCTTTAGTGAAAGTTTAGTGGATTTTTAAGTTAATAATTTTTTGATTGTTTAACCTCAACCTATTTATATTATTTGATTTATATCATGGTTTTCGAAATCCGACCAGAGAAAAAAAATCGGGAACCAGTTTGGTGATCGGTTTCGTTTTACCCCAAAACCGTTATTTCGCCAAAATATGTTGATTTGGTCATCAAACCATTGAACTGGTGGTCAAACCGTTTGAACCGTCCAATAGTTTTGGCCGCTTTTTCTTTATTTTTTATTTTTTATTTGTTTTTTGTCAGAATGGGCCATTCGTTCGGCCTGGGAATCGGACCTCTAACTGGTTCATTGTTTGGTTCGGTTTTAAAAACCTTGATTTATATTATTACTATTCTCTCTCTCTCTCTTTCTCCCTCTCTCTCTTAAATATAATAATAACATGCATTAAAATAAGAGGACTTAGAAAACACAAAGGTCTCTCTAATAGTGTGCAGCTTTATTAATCTAATTAAGATAAACAATGATTATTGTTTTATATTTTTAAAATAAAAAATAAGAAAAAAATGCAAAAATAAATAAATAACTTCCTTTCTAGATCTTTTTTTCTTTGCCATTCTTGCCCTAGCTGAGCAGTCTGCTAGTCCAATTAACACTTATGGGAACTCAGTTGAATGAGCTATTTATTCCTTTCTAGATCATCACCAACATTACTTTATCTGATCATCTATCATGCCCAAAGAGAGAATACAGACCGATAAGATGGGGTAAGTGTCAATCCTCTATCACCAGCATAAGTCTTAAACTAAGTGTTAAAAATGTAGTCAGTTGATTTAGTTGGCATTTTATTTCGAAATAGATTCCTCATCTAGAATTTTTTTTTTTTTCTTTTCTGAACTTCCACCCATGAGATTTCAATCTTAACCCCATGTTACACAGATTAAGGCTTGGGTCATGTACTGGTACTCCTACCAGCTGGCAGAACTTAACAATATATGCGCACTTCGATAGGTGACCATATTTGGGGAATCTACAAGAAATATGTATTATTATCCAAACAGTTTAATATGATCTTTGATGCATCCGTCTTGCCTCTTGCAAGCTCATAGTGAAAATAGCTTTTGATTGAAGTGCTTCTAAATTACTTTGTAGTAGCAACGTAGAAACTGCATTTATTTTTAAGAAGACTCCCAAACTTAGCCTTATTTGCAAGTTGCCAACCAGCTGATTGATAAGGTCTCCTGTTGGTCGTAGTAGAAATTTGGGATCGAATCCCGCTTGCACCTGGGTTGGGGGATGGATTACCCCCCTCCCCCCAGGGGGTTGTGTAGCCCTAAAAAAATAAAAAGCTTAACCTTATTTTTAAGAAATTGGATTAACATGCATTGTTTATTTGAATAAACACTTATTTTTAAAACTCCCAGACTTGGCCAAAGTGCATTGCAATACACAACTTTTGCTTATCTCGTGTATCAATACTTTGAACCTTGAGGAAAATTAATGAGTTTTGTAAAAATAGCTATTTTAATGATAGTTTGTCAATATGTATGATTCTATTTTCAAAAAGAAAAAACTGCCACATCATTCTGAAAAACAGAATCATACACATTGGCAAAAACACCCTTTGAGCATTTTCCAATAAGTGAGTATTAATTATAGAAAAAAATGGCATTTTCTTCTAATTTTTCATGATCATGATTTATTTTACAGTGATCCTGTGAGGCTGTGACAAACTCCTTAAGGCTCAGTTTGGAACTGTACATATTTGTATTTGTATTCCTTCCAAACTGAGCTCAAGGGGGTGTTCTCCAATGTAAATTATTTTTTCTTGTTGCCAATTCCTAAAAATAAAACAAAATCAGCTAAAACAAACTGAATCTTAAAATAAAAGCAAAGAAAACATGTTGTTGATTAAGTGTTTTTTTTTGTGTTTCCAAAACTGAAACCAAAAACATGTTCTTAAATTTCTGGTTTAAAGAACATGTTTTCATCTGGTTATTTAATATCATATTTCATAGATCATATAATTTTAAGGCTGGTTCCAAGAACATTTATTGTTTTTTTTTTTCTGAAAGAAAACCAACTTCTTTTTGCCTTTCAGAATAACAAATAGAGTTTAAATATTCACCTTTGTAAACACCCCCCAAGGTTATCTGCAATCCACCGCCTGTTTCCTGCAAGTAGCTGATCTTCCTCGTTTGAGCGTCCTACAACATGTGCCGCCGCTGGAAAGCTGAATAGTCCCTTCAACTTCAAGAGTTGCCATGATCTAGCTAAGTAGCCTAAGTAGAAATTGTTCATGAAGTAACCACTGGGTTAATATGATGGCATAAGAAGACCATGATGACACATTGACACCTGTTACCCGACTGCTGGGTCGAACCATCCAAATAGCCTTCCAGATCATAGCTTCTCAGGAATGTCATCCACAACAGGAGGGAACAGTCTGCCAGTTTGAAATTTGAGAGACAGTACTTGAGATATACCATGCTTCAAAAGGGGTGTCAATTGGACTTGATTCGGTCCAATCCAATCCGGTCCAACATGGATCCCTTTATAAATGGGTTGGACCCAATCCAAACCCCATACAATCGGTCCAATTGAAATACAAATGGACTGGATGAGGTCTAATCTTTCCTAATTAAATGAAACATAAAAAAAAACCTAAAAAATTACATAAATACATACATACATATGTTTAAACATATTATATATATTACATACATTAAAAAATATATTATTAATAATTCAATTTAATACGATTTATGATTTTGTTTAATTTATAAACTTTTGAAAACTAAATCAAACCGTTTTAAGGCAAAAACAGACCAAACAGCCAATTAAAATTTGATCTGGTACAATTTCGCCGTCTAAGCCATATAATGAACCCTCAAGTGCTTTATCCTATTTCAATCAGGGTAGCATAAGTATTTTCAAAATGATACGATGGGCCAAAACAGGCCAAAATGAAAATAAGCACTTGTTCGGTACGTGCTTAAAAATAAGCCCAAAATTTTGCTTTCTTGAAATTTAGACTTTATTTTAGGAATAAGCACTTATTTAGACTTTATTTGGCTTTTGCTTACCGGTGTGGAATAAGAATACTCTCAAAGGGGAGCTTAGTGTTGTTTGAGAGGGTTCTCCATTGTTGATAAACCCTGCAAGGATGCCCCAATCCTTTCACCATCAGAGATGGAAAAGTTATCAGGCTCTATAGGCGCTTTGCAGTACGGAGATTGTGGCCCCCAAGAGAGACATCAAGCTTTTGTCATCCATAGCAGCAGTCAGGGTTGACCATCCATGATCAACCAATCTGACTAATCCTCTTTTCTGATTAGGGTTGCCCATCTCCAAATTCCAAATCCACCGGCCCACTGATCATAAACCCATTATACTGGACAAGGTAGAAGATTAATAAATAAATTAAGAGCTGAAGAATATTCACAATTTTCTAGTTACAAGAAAAGTAGCTTATTATATACAAGAAACTTTAAGACCATATTGATGATCAGCTGTACAAAGAGGATGGAATTAAACCTCCACTCCGATCAAGACAAGGGTCTCCTTCTTCCATACATATATGTACACTTTGTTTCTTCCGTCATGTACGTCTAGTCGCAGAAAGATCAGGAAGGAGGTGATGAATGAATAGTTGTGTCAGGTAACATGGCTACTGTCACTACGAAGTATTCACAGCCAACAGGGAGACCATACGGGTTTGATGTGGGCACCGACCCCAGAGCTGTCAACCGATGAGTCCCCGTTTCAGAATTCAGGTTATCTACTTGATCTCGCCCATGCTCAGACCGAGTAGGTGGCAACCTTACTGTTTGCCGTTCTATATGCACAATCTGCCCAATTATGTAACTGGGTTTGCTTGGGAGGTTTCCAGCAAACAAAGCTACAGATTCTGCAGAGAGGTAATAGTTAGAGCAGTTCCGATTGATCGCCTCATAATGCCCAGCGGAATTCAGAACAAACGCAGCTATCTCATGGACTTCAAAATGAATAAATGATATCTTCTCCTTGCTTGCCTGTGTCATAAACATCAAAACGTTAGAGGATCACAAATGAGAGAGAGAGAGAGATAATAAAGTATGAAGATAGCATTCGAACTGGAGCTACTTTCACATTTTTTTCAGTTAAGAGGTCAACTACGAGAATTGATTAGCTGAACTTGAGTGGTTGTGGGCTTGTTGCGTAGAAAAATGATTAGTGCAACAGCCCAGCAAACAGCTACCATGTTCAGCTAATCCATTCTCGTCTACTACAAAACCGAAGAGGAAAATACAAGATCCACAAACTCTGAACCTCTCAGTTTGGGCTATAAAATACAAGCACCTAATTACCCATTTTGAATGGCAGGGACTCAATTCTTTCCTAAGGAAGTTGCCTCTTACCAATTACCATCCTTTGGTCCTCATAAAAATTCATACTATACACCAACAGTCGCATGGTACTGCAACAGGTACTATGGTTGTAAAAACCTAACAATTTATGATACAATTCATGATATGGGTCATGAATTCCAAGGGTTTCAATTCAGATTTTATGTTTGAATCCCTTTCTAGAGAAATCTTATAATTACTGTTTGAATCCTGAGTTAATTCATAGATCTTACGGTTCGCAGGATTCGTGCGATTCAAGGGGACTTTCTTGTAGAACCCTTGCTAGAATATGGTTTATTTGGGTTATTTAAGACATTTGAAAAACTTATCGAGTTTATTTTCTATCATATGTAGGGTTTTCTTCTCTGAATCTATCATATATAGGTTAAATAGCAATTGTAAGTGGATTAGTTAACTTTCAAGTCAAAATTGGTTATATCATCTTACACTTCTAGTGTACAAATGGTAAGGCAATGAAGGCATTGTCTCAAGTACTTGTATGGTAGTACTAAAGATGGATTAAAAATGATGTAAAATCACTCTTTTTATTGTTTTCCTCTTTTCATATTCTTTTCAGAACTAGTAAACGTGTACGTGCATTTGCACGTGGCACTATCTCTGAGACAACTATTTATAATTCATAGGTAGTTTCTTGTTATGAGTGGGTAGTTTCTGAACTATACAAGTGGGCAGTTTCTAAAGTGAGAATAATGAAGGACATTTATGCCCATTGTATGCTTAAACAAGAGGGGTAGAAAACGTCCAATGAAAATTCCAAAAAGAAGGGGTATTCGCTCTTTCATAAGTAGTATAGATTATCTTATGATTTATGATATGGTTCAAAATTCAATTCAGTTCAGCATTCTCTATGGTTTACAATACAGTAATAATTTTCAGAGAAAGAGAGGTTCCCTGCCACCACAAGATGAAAATAGTAAAAAGAATATGAAAAGAGGAAAACAGCAGTATGCAGTACGATACTGAGTTTTGCCAATAGCTGATACAGATGGCTCTCAAAAGTCATCTGCTCGTGGTGCAGTCCCAAAATATATCATGGACTTAATCATGCATGAGATGGTCAAAATGTCACAGCCAGCATTCACTCATACAAGAAGTGCCCCACCAACTTAACTACAAGGATCAAAGTCATCAAACAAGTTGACGAGTCACAGTAAGAAAAGAAGACTTGTGGGGACAAGATCCACCAATAATCTCATGCTGTTTTTTTCCCCACTTAAATGCAATCCTATTCAACCCCACAAAAATTTGTGGAGCCCAGGTCCACAATTATATTCATGCTTTTGTATCACTATAGTAAATAGTTAAAACAACAAAAACTCTTCAAGAACTAACCTGTTTCTCAAGTTGATTCTTTGTATATAATTTTTTTATCAATTCTTTCTTCTCTTCTAGTTCCTTTACTAGATGCCCATGTGAAGCTTCATCCCTCGAGCACCTCTCTAGCAACTCTGTACGGTGTCGAGACAGAATACCAACTTTATCTGCAAGGATCCGGATACAATTCTGGAACTCCACAGTGCCATCATCTTTATTGTCATTAATGGAGCTGAAAATAGAAACCAACTAATGCATTAATTAATAAAACAACATATGCACAACAAACAAATGCTTTACAAGTAAAGAGAAATTAGTGGAACCACACGAAATCAAAAATCATATTTTCAAACTAAGGATAGAGGAAAGCTTGGGGGCCATTTGATAACAGCTGAAGCAGTTGAACAAAAAATCATTGCTTTATCTTTTAGTAAAATTGTTTTCAAGGAGGTTGTGGGTTCTGTATGGGTCAATTTAATTATTTTATCAACAAAAAGACAAAACAGCAAGTTATTCAGTTCAGCAACTTCAGCCATTATCAAATGGCCATTTCGTTCAGAGAAAATCAGATTGAGGCAAATCTTGTGTGACTATATGAACAAAGAGTAGCCATCTCTAGAAGATTAGGATCAAGGAAAACTTGTGCAATGTATACCGGACATGAGTAGATAAATCTATGACCCCATATACCATGCAAATCTCCCATAAGATCACAAGTTCATAACTAAGAATTTGAAGGGAAAATTATCCATGCAGCCCACTCTATGTAGAAATGCAAAACGAATTGTCCAATTCAAAAAAAAAAAAAAGTGTTTGATTAACTTACCTTGTCAATGACACAGCTAAAGCACACAAGGAATCAGCAAAATTTGCCACTCCACCTGAACCAATAACACAGCTACGAAGTCGTTCAAAAAGGCTGCGCATTTTCACAGCAGAGGCACGCAGCGCACTATATTCTGAGGCCCTCCTATCAGCAGCACAAAGATGAGTGTGTGCTTCCTTTCTCGCTTCATGCAGGCAATTCTCCAAGTGAGCACAGTTCATCTGTTTCACAAAGAACAAATGCAACGCACGTATAAAGGTACATGCATTAAAGACAAGATATCTACTAAAGAATACAATGGAAAGCTTCTTTCCAGAACTTAGTTAATCAATAACAAACAAAAGGTTGCATAAAATGAAACGTTATAAAGAAAGATAATAACATAAAATGGTACTGTTAAAGCATAAACAAACGAAAGATAATAGCATAAAATGAAACTTTATAAAGAAAAAAATGTTCCAGCACCTGCAAAATTATTTATGAAGAGCATCAAAGGTTGCATCATGATAGTAGAATATGGAAACCTTCTCTATCTGTCTTTTTTCTTGTGCATCCTTTATTGATACCTTAGTCCTTCCAATGGGGGGGGGGGCTTTTCCAGTAAAAGAGGTTTGGAGCAGAACCTATTCCTCCTAAAATACAAGCCTTTTGCCAGGAAGCTACCCTTGGAAAGATGAATACCCATGATGTGCTCTAGAGAAGAAGAACAAATAAATGCCTTACCCCATGTATCTGTCTTTTATGCAAGGCCGAAATCATCCCTCATTTAATAATATCCTGTAACTTTGTGATTTGTATTTGGGAGTGTATCTCTTCTCTCTTTGGTTGCAGGTGGAAACCTCCCCAACATATTGCTACCTTATTCAACCCTAGCTTATTCAGACCAGCAAAAAAAGAGGGGAAGACTGTTATGGAAGATGATCAGGCCGTCAGGGTAGCAACTGTCTGGACTTTTTTTTATAGTAAAAAGAGAATTCATGAAAAACAAAAGAGAATACAAGGAGAAGGTGATGAGAAATCACCTAAGAGAAGAAAGAACATAACCCAACATCAAAAACAACACACTTACACCCGACACTAGACCGAAACAAATAGAACAATTCAGACAAACACCAACTCTCAGCCACACAACCGCAGAACAAAAACAAACAAACAACTCCAACAAAATGGACTTTTTACATATCTCCACCCTACTTTCCTCAAACTCTTTGAAAGCTCTCCTAGCAAAGGCCTCACCCCCCCCCCCTCACGTTTTCCTTCCAAAAACTTACCACCCTCAAATTCCTTGTTCATATCAGAATTAATATCCACACCATCCGACTCCCTCTCCTTCCTTTCTTGATTCAAACTATCATTTATAATTAAAAGTTTAAAACCTTGTTCCTTTCCATACAGAGCGCTATCACCTTCTTGACCACGCCCCTTTGACCTAGGTTCTTCAATTTTCTTCCCTTTCTCTTAGACAATCTCTTATATGTGTTACTTGGCCCCAACTAGGCCTTCTCTCAACCTTGAGAACACCTTGGATACGTGAACAATGTGAAATTTGTTTGACACCCTGAGCTTTTTATGTTCTGCTTCACTGTCAAAGCGAGAAACATCGACAGGCTCTCCTAGAAACTATCTATACCAAGTTGCCTCCAAGAACCTATCTTGGGCCTCTCCCTCCCTCCCTCCTCTCCCTCCCTCAATTATTTTAAATATGTATTGAAACATAAAGTGTGTAAAGTTACATGAGTGCCCCTAGTGGAGCAGCTGACTTAAAAAAAACATAAAAGGAGTAAGTATTAAGGCCCATAAAGAAGGTCCACTACAGCAGAAACAAAGCTACTAAAAAAATAAATAAAAACAAAGGCCCATTCAGCCCAATATCTCTACAATTACCTAGCTCAAAAAAAAAAAAAAAAAACTAGTTCAATAGTTCTAATTTTATGAAGATATATGTTATTTTTAAGACTATCAGTTACTAATCTCTCCTCCATTAGCACCCTCTACACGTTCATTTAATAACTTTTCAAAATAGGTTTTCCATCTTCCTTGATTTCCTCGTCTTTTACCAAGGCTCTTTGATGTTTAGTTAAATTAAGTATTCAAAAAGTATTAGGAAAGCCACAAAATTATCTAAGCTTCTAATATGTGTGGAGTCTTACTTATCCTGAGAAGCACTATACTCAACATGAATAATTTTTCAGAAAAACCAAAATGGAAATCTGTGATGTACCCAGACTCGTACCTGAGATTCATCAAGGAGTTTTCGACTCATTTCCAACTCTTTACTAAGGTTGTCAACCTCCTCCATTGCAGCTTTGAGCTTGGTTTCAGTTTCACTCAACTGGTTTGACTTATCTGCAAGTGCACTTTGCAATTCCAAGACAAGATCACCCTTAAATTTAGATTCTGTATCTGGTTCTCTTCCAGTTTCACAAGGTAAAATATTCTGAGGCTCCAATATGGCCTCAGCAGTAGAGCTGTTAGACAGTGTCAAACCCAACTGCCCCACCATTGTCTCTTGCACAGATTTATCTCCTACTTGAAGTTCATCTCGATGTGGCTCCACCATCGACAAATCCAACTGAGGGTTTAGCATGCCAGAGGACTCAATCATATTTTCATCAACCCCTTCTCGGGCTTTGCCTGGATGGCTATTGAAATGTTCCACTTTTGCATCCAATGAAGCAGTTGTGCAGGAGAACTCATCCATGGGTTCAGTAGAGATGTAAGGCATGTGGGCCTCCCCATCTCCTGATAGTTCTGACTTGCACTCGTCAATTTTAACAGATGAATTGGCAAATTCAGAGACATCCAGATTGTGTCCTTGAAGATACTGGTCAGACAATCTTTGCTCTAGCTCTTGCATGCGCTTCTCATATGACAGGCATTGCATCTCCTTCATCTTTAGCATGGATTGAAGATGCTTTACATATTCATCCTTCAGATGCAAAGCTTCAGCCGTCTTCTCAGCTGCATTCTTGAGTAAATTATCCAGCTTACTATCATCCAGTGAGTCATACTCAATTTCAGGGCTAATTGAACAAATTAGTGCTATGGCAGAAGCAAGTTCGGCTTTCAGCCTCGCATTCTCTACCTCCATCTTGCTCGTTCCAGCAATTTCTACCGAGTCATAGACTTCAAGTAACTCCACAGAATCAAATTTCTCAGAGAGTTCCCCAGAAGACTCTTCTGCCTCAGCCAATTGGAATCTATCATTTGACATGGAAAATGACCCTTTTGATGTTCCCTGTTTCTCGCCTTTAAAAGGAATATGTACCAAATATTCAGGTGCATAACGATCAATATCAGCAATATCAACCTCCAGCAAATTAGAGTCAAAAGGAGCAATATTTACATCGCACTGACTGGGAGTATCAAATAACCCCATGGATGCAAATACATCCCGAGGTAAGAAAGCACTCTGTGCTTTCAAGAACTGCTCCCGTCTTCTGACCTCAACCTCCCTCTTTGTTGCAAGCCTTTCTGCCAGTTGTCCAGCCATGCCCATGTACAACTTCATAGAAGCCTTCCTTCTCACCACTTCTGCAAGGCAGGCTCTGTATGCAGGGCCAATTCCACGTACAAATTTCAGATCAGCAAACAGATCATCTTGGCGCACCATTGCCTCTTTGAAAGCTGGAAATTGTAGCCGAACATCTCTAATGATGAATTGAACATATGCAACCCTTTGCATGCAAATATGGACAAAATGGTTCATCTCATTCTTCTTATCCTTGCAGACATCCAGCAGCTTGGAAATGGATTGACCAAAAGATAGCAGCTTGGGTAAGTGATGTTTGTCATGGCTCTCATACATAGGGCCCAGGGCTGAAACTGCATCATGAGGACGGAGTGATGCAGATAATTGGCAGCTCAAACAATCATCCACCAGCTTCTTTACAGTGATGACATCCTTGCTGCATAAAAATACAAGAATAAATTTTTGGATGGTAGTGAAGACAAAACTTTAAGTATTTTCAAATACATGGATTGAATTATGACATAAGGCACATAATAAAATATGCAAGGGCTACTAGTTATTAAACTTTACAATGATACGATCATACAGCATTGGAGAAACAGTGCTGCTTATTGATCAAAACAAAAGAAATAGTGCTGCTTAGGTGGTAAATGCATACAAGTGTTAAATTCTGTGAAGTCAAAACATTTCTACATTGTTTGGGAACATTTGTACTACTTAAGTCTTTCAAACACAAAACGATATAAGGTTCTGATGCAGCTATTCTCCAAAAGAGGCATGGAGAAAAGAAATACAACACACATGGACACATGAAGCATAATACACCAAGAAGCAAGTAGAGCAAGACTCTTCGATCAATGCAACATCTCTATAAGAATTAAAAAATAAAAAAAAATAAAAACATTTCTAAAACTTACATAGTTTTAAGCACAAAACGAAGAAAGGTTTTTATGCCGCCAATCTCCTTAAAAAAATAATGAAAGTTGAGCAAGCCCATTCTAAATAAATGTTAGTCAACAGGATATACATGGTTTAATGAGGATAAATTCATCCAGGCTTTGTCTAGACAATGGTTCTATAAATTAAGACATTCCAGACTGCAAAAAATTAGGACCTCGTTTGACATGTGGGGTTGCCGCTAGAGTTAAATGGATAAATTCAACTGGACATTTAAAAAAGCCCTAAATATTTTTCATTAGTTCATTATAAACATTTGATATGAGTGATCTCATTTGAACTGATCCATATTGCTTGTTAAGGCAAAACAAAAACTGCTGAGGCAATTTCTTGTAAGCTCCCTTTGTATGGCTGCCTGTTGAACAGGGATTTTTTTTGTTGATTAATGAAGTTTTACTTCACCTTTTCTCAAAAAAAAAAAAAAGAAAAAGGAAAGAAAATATGTATTGATCTACTTGCACCAATCAAAGATAGAAGAGGGAAAAGGCATTAACCCTAAAATTCTGAAACAGAAAATCATGAACCCCATTTCAGCAAGTGAATATTTCATAAACACCTCAATTATTTGAAAGTTCTAAAGATAAAAGTTTAGTTCACTTCAATGGTGAAGGAGAAGATATAGGAGAATCCTCATATTAAAGCCAACTTGAACTTTAACAGTAATTAAACAAAGGATAATAAGGAAAAACAATAGACAAGAGAAGCATTTGGAAGTTAACAAGAACAATAGAAAAAGATGCAAATTTTGCACATCCCAACCTACAATGCCAGTCAGTTCCCTAACCAATGTTTGAAAAATAGAACCAACAACCCAAGTTCTTACAAGGTTTGTAAAAGCATTTTGACCAAAACAAACCATAACATTAAGTCTGGGCAATATATCGATGCTGTTTGAATATGAAAAATCCATGGTCATAAAAAGAAATAAAAAATCAGAATATCAGATAATGAGATTCTAAGAACAAATGGCACCTATAAGAAAATTCACCCTGTGCAACCATCATTGTTTTTCTGTATCACATGGTTGGTACTAGTAATCTTAGGTAAGCATTATTGGTCTCCAAAGAGATTGCACAAACAAGAGATGGTAAAGGAAATGCTTGCATTTGGACAATGCCATGTTGAGAAGAAACTTGCATGGAATCCATGTCCATCTATCTTGACTATCTTGACACGTAATCGAGTTTCTTTTCTTGATTTTGATCATCTATGCCAGCCATTGAAGGGAGTTCGGCTTCATGTTAGGTTTTTGATTCTTGGTTGCAAAAGCATATTTGGGGGAACAAAAGTTGTGGGTGGACTTAGGATTTTATCTATTATATCTTTGATGGGTTTCAGGGGGAATTCAGGTTTCATCGAAGATTTATGTGACAGGTTTGTGTCAATTAGGGTTTTTGTGGGGGCTTTTATGGTTTCTGTTAAATATGGAGCTTTTATGTATGTGGTGGACTTGTCGAGTGAGGTAAACTGAGTTGTCTTTGTGCATCGCTGAGTTTAACTTATTCTTGTATTATTAGTTGTTAAGAATTTCATTGGTGGGGTTTGAGGATCTTGGGTGGGGTTCCTTTGGGAGGGGAGATTGGAGAGCAAGAACAGTATTGAAAATTTCTAGAATACCTGTCATTTCCTCAATCCATGTTGTAAAAATAAAACCAACAACCCAAGTCCTTTTCAAGTTTGTAAAACCATTTCCACTAAAATAATACTATAATATTAAGCTTTGTCAATATACTGATGCTGTCTGAAATATGAAAAAGAAATAAAAAAAAAAAAAAACAGATATGAGCTTCTAAGAACAAATGGCTCCTATAAGAAAATTCATCCTGTGCACCTATCCTTTCTTCCTGTATCGCATGGCTCCAAAGGAAATTGCAAAAGAGGGTGGGCCTTCGCACAACAGTTGGATTGCTCCATTGCAACCTGGGTGACCAGGGGTTCAAATCGTGGAAACAGCCTCTCTGTATGTGTAGGGGTAAGGCTGGGTACGTCTGTTCCTCCTAAGCCTCCCAGACCCCACATTGGTGGGAGCCTCATGCACTGGGATGCCCTAAAGGAGATTGCAAAAACAACTCACGGAAATGCTTGCATTTTGACAATGCAATGTTGAGAAGAAATTAAATCAACCCCTGGAGTCTTTTTATCATGGAGCAACATTTCCCAAGGAGATCCATGCAAAAAGATAACTCAAGTATACGCCTAATATGAAACAAGATCCATGCAAAAACATACTCAAGTAACGCCTAATATGATAGAGTTCTAACCCCTGGCACAAACAGGAGAAACTGAATTTGGATCCAAACGTCCTACAAAGGAAGATTACTACTTTGATCATCAAAAAGTCCGAATCCTATGATATGCCATGACTCAGTAGATGCACCAGCATCATCAGAATTCCAACCAAGGTTAGGCAAGCTATTTAATAAATAACACATTAGGCTCAGCTTGGGAAAATTACAAATAAAAATATGTACTCTGCAAATACAAGATTTAAAAATAACCTATACAAGGTTTTACACTGTACATACTTGTATTTGCACTCCTTCCAAACTGAGCCTTACAGACAAAATGGTTAATCTAAATAGAAAAAACATAACAAGAAGAATATACATAAAAACAACCTGAGAGACTGCATTATACTCTTTTGCTCATGAAGATATTGCTGATGGTCTTTGATCATCAGTTCTAATTCCCCAATTGCAGCAGAAGCCTTGCTAGAAAACAAATCTTCAACCCGACGCTTCAATTCATTAAACATCTGCCTAAGTTGTGAAACCTTTGCCTCGAATTGCCGGTGCGAGTTGTTACAATTCTCCGCCCATTTCCTTAAGTTTTCCTCTTTAACAAAATCAAGGAGGCATTTGCGGGTATCCGTCTGCAGACCTGGGTGAAGCTTACAAGACCTTAACTTCTCCAAATCCCTCCCAAAATTAACCAAAAGGTCCGAATGGTACCGATGTTGCTGTAAGTAACACTTCATGAAGTCCGCATACATTTGATGTATCATCCGATAGTAATGGTCCATACTACCTCTGGCAGTCTCCACAGCTCTGTCTTGCACCTTCTGCTCTCTCAAGAGCCTCTCACAATTTTCAAATTTCACTTGCGTAGAACTGTAAATAGCGTGCCCACGTTGGAAATGGCATCTGAATTGCCTCTCATACGAAGGCAATGCCTTGAGTGCAGGGTCTGAAGCATCATCCAAAGGGTGCGGATCTTGTGAAGCTGATGGCAATGGAGGGTCAGCAATTTCAGGGATATCAACTTGCTCTAGCGGAGGGGGTGGGGAATCCGCTAAAAGTCTTGCTCGGTTATAGAGGAAGACCTCACGGTCCTCGCACGGAAGTTTGTAGGCCGACAAGGGCCGCTGGGATTCAAGCTTCATGTCCATACAGAGCAAAAGCTGGTCGTTGAGGTGAATACCTGATACCGACTCTATGTACCGCTGAACTGCCTCAACAGTCATCGATTCATCGCAGTCAAGCTCAAAACTGTGGCCATTCTCTGCAATATGAACCAGTAGCTTCCCTCTGGGGGCGAAATCCTCTGTAACACTAGAACTCATCGTATCCCCAGGATCAAAATCTCCACCACAGAAACCCAAAAAATAATCAATTATAGAAACTGTCAATCTTGTTCTTGCTCTCCAATTTCGGCACCCAACGGAACCTCACCCAAGATCCTCAAACTCCACCAATGAAATTATTAAACAACTAATAATACCACAAAGACAAATCAGTTTACCTTACCCAACAAGTCCACCACATACATAAACCCCATATTTAACGGAAAATCATAAAGCCCCCACAAAAGCCCTAATCGTCACAAACCCATACATAAAATCATCAAAGAAACCCGAACTGATCAAAAAGACCCAATAATATAGAATAGATAAAACCCTAATTCCACCCACAACCTTCGTTCCCCCAAATCTGCTTCTGCAACCAAGAATAAAAAATCTAACATGAAGACGAACAAACAACAAATGAAACTTCTCGAACTGACACACAATCCTACTTCAAATCCAACAGGAGAAATTAAAAAACACAAATAAAAAATTCCTTCAACGGCCGGCGAAGATAATCAAAATCAAACAAAGAAACAAGATTACGTGTCAACTGTGTCAATATAGATAAACGTGATTCCCTGCAAGTTTTCCCCTAAGAAACCCTAAATTGAGGCTTCTATTCTGGGTATTTCTTTAATCTTTTTCTGGGTATCACTAAAAAGCACAGAGAACCTTCTGCAGCAAGCTTCCACTCTTAGCAGAAGAGCTCTCCTCTAGCCTCTAACCAGAAGTTCGGAGGAAAAGAGTACCAGCCTTATATAATCTTCACTCTCCTCTCTCTCTCCTATTTATCTAATATAATATTGTTAGTGTTTTCTACTTTTCTTTAATCAGTGGTCTCCCTTCTCTGATTGTAGCATCAATCACATTAAATAATTCAAATTATTCACGATGTGTGGGTCCTACGAACAAGTGGCCCGTATAATCTGCTGCAGAATGGATGATCTCAACCGTCCGTCTTGTCATTAGCGAAGATGGCCCACTTTTCATAGGTTGAGTTGAGACTTGAGGGTCTTCCTCATGGATGCACATGCAGTGCACTTTTCAGGGTAGGACCCACCATTCGCTGCATCTAGTCCGCGCAAATTGAGGGTGGAGGGGCCCACTTTCAATGGATCTCATATGAGGCATCAATTGTGACAAGTTGCTTGATCGAGTGGGGTCCATTCCGGCAATCTAATTGATTTAAAGTGGATCCGGTTCCTTAGTAGCAAATGTTACGCTCTAGAATTTTGCTTTCGGGTCAAATGAAGATTTGCAAAAGACAATATATGCGGATTTGGGTTTCTTCTGAAGTCTGAACAACATATTGGGCAGGGATTTCGACAAACCGGGTCCATTTATAGCACACCCTGATGGGCCGGGCGGGATGGGACGTTAAAATCCATGATGTTTAAAAGAATGACCCGGGTTGATACTTGATAACCCTGCCTTTGGGCGTTTTGTGAAGGCCAGGCTCAGGTTGAGCCCGGGCCCGAATAGCACCCTTACAAAACATGGTGTAACCTGACCCAGTGAAATTTAATTGGAGCATAATCTATAGGGATATCAATAGATTTGGGTTCGACACAGGTTTGGTTCAATTTGACCACGATCAAAGCACCATCAAACCAACCCCAACCTGTCTCATATATTGTGCACCTACATTCAATTAAGCGAACATAGCACCGCTCTAACTCAATCCAAACCCAACCCAAAACCCGATTTAGGAAGACCTGTTCCTTAGACTATTAGGGTCAGGCTTACCCCTTAACCCGACCCAATAGAATCCAATCTATATTTGCCCGCCTAGCTGGTCGGCCAGAGTTGTTTGACCAAATAGTTGTCTGACTGTGAAGAAGTTATTTAATATTTGTTCTTATTACATTTAACTGAGAGAGTGAGAGGGGACCTTTGAGTTTTGTAAGGCTTCTTAATTTAATGTATTTTATTATTAAATTTAAGAGACAGAAAAAGAGAGAATAATAATGATATAAATAGATTGAGGTTAACTAATCAAAAAATTATTAATTTAAAAATCCACTGAACTTTCACTTAAAATAAATATTAGCAAAACTTAGTAAATATTAAAAAAGTGCTCCAATTCCATTTAAAAATCAAACTTAACAAACACTAATAAAAATAAGAAATTTAAATATAAAAATATTAATAAATAGTTTTAATAATATTATTAGATAACTTTATATTAATGCATTTTTAATTAATTAATATTTTTTATAAAATGAGACCTTTATTGTGCATAATGAACTCATTAAAAATGACAAAAATTAATGAAAAATTTAAAATGTAGAACCCGCTTTATTAACAGTATTTTATTGCAAAAATTACTAAATAATAATGAAAAAATACCAAAGATTAATTCAAAATCTAGAAAATTCCGAAAAAACCTAAACATAATTAAAATACTAAAAATTTAAAAAATATTGAAAATTAACAGTATTTTATATTAAAAAGGGTATTACTGAAAAATAATTAAAAATTACAATTAATAGTATTTTATTATTAAAAATACAAAAAAAATATTAAAAAAATACCCAAGCCAAAAATTATTGAAAATAGAGAAAATTGATTGTATTTTTTATTAACTATGGTATTTATTTAGTTATTTAAATTATTTTTACTGAAAGCAAATGCAAACTAATTTTGTAGTGACAAATATGCAAAAATAAATACTGAAAATATTGAAAATTATTGAAAAATACTCATTTGCAAAAATTACTGAATAAGAATGAAAAATAACATAAATTAATTAAAAATCCAAAAAATCTGAAAAACTTAAAACTTAACTAAAATACTAAAAATAATTAAAAACATTAAATTAATTGTATTTGATTGCAAAAAAACTGAATAATAATGAAAAATGTATTTTAATTATTTTAAGCTATAATAAACAGTAATTATAATTTAAGCTATAAATAGCAGAAAATTACATTTAATTAGTTTTATCCAATAAATTACCAATATTTCTGAAAATATGATAATTTCAAGAAAATTATTGTATCTTAAATAAATACAGTAATTTAATAATTACAATATTTTAATAATTATAGTATTTTTAATAATTAATAGTATTTTAATAAATTCATTTTTTTAAAAATAGTATTAATGATTACATTAATAAATAATGTATTTATTAATTAACAGTAAATTAATAACTACAGCACTTTTAATAATTAACAATATTTTAACAATGCAATATTTAATGATTAAAAGTATTTAGTTAATTATAGTATTTATTAATTAACAATACTTAATTAATTATTGTATTTATTAATTAATTAGTCATATATTCAATAAATATAGTATTTTTAATACTTACAATATTTTAATAATTAGTAGTATTTTATTACATTATTAATAATAATTATAGTGTTCATTAAATAATTAACTATATTTATTAATAAATACAATATTAAAATGGTCCAGTTTGTCTAGAAATCTATAACGTGCAATGTATATATAATTTGAAGCCTAATGACTGTAATTAATAAAATTACTAAAGTTAATAAAAATATTAAAATTTAGCAAGTTTTTATCTATTAATTGCTAAAAGTTATGAAATTAATAAAAATTAATTAGTAGTTCATAAATTAAAATTCTGAAAATATAATTTAATATGATAATTAAAATAAATATAAAATAGTAAAAGATTATGAAAAATAAAAATTAAACCATTTGCATAATAAGACTCCTTCTACTTAGGGATGATCATATATAACTTAGCTCAACCTTGGGCTCAAGCAAATATTTTCTTCTAAGTTAGGTTTAGCTTGGATCTACACCAATCCCAGGTATAAATTATTGATAGGATAATTAAATTTTAATAAGTTTTATTAGGAGTTAGGACAATTCGGTTAAAACTGAAAACCAAACCAAACATTTTGGTTTCTGTTTTTTTTTCGATTTTTGGTTAAATTAGTTTTCGGTTTTAGTTTTTAGAATTAGAAATTTGATTAACCAAACTTTCTATTATTATATATAATATGTAACATATAATATATTATAATATTAATATATAATACAATGAAATTTGATTTCATAGATATATTATACAATATATTATTAAAATTCGGTTTTAACCAAAATAGCCAAAAATCGAACCAAAAATTTTGGTTTCGGTTTTTATTTTTTAGTTCAGTTTTTAAAATTTCAGTTTATTTGGTTCGACTTTTAACCGAATAAATTGAATGCTCACCCCTAGGTTTTATCTAGTAACTATTAAAAATTAGTATTGATAAGATAATTGAAATTAATAATAAAAAGTAACAAATCGTTTATAACTTAGCCTAACCTGATTAGATCTATAAATTTCCAAGCTCAAGCAATTAATTTCTTTTGAGTTAGGTATAGTTGAGATATGCACCAAGCCCACACATTATCAAGGATAATCAGATTCAAAGTCTAATTAGGCATCAAACTTTTGGAGTCCAATGATGGATTTAGTGGATATGACCCAAACTAAACAACCCCTAATAAGCTCAACTTGTAAGTTATATACATATATGGTAAATATTATTATATAATATTTGGGTTATTTTTTATACTATACTAGAATTAAATAAAATTTTTAATTTGTAAAAAATCATAGTTTTATAATTAACATAGGCAATCTTGTAAGCTTATACAAATATTATTACACTTAAGGTGTGGGTTGTATTAGGGTAAGCAATCTTAAAAACTACTAATACACTATCAAAATTTAGCTCGAAATTTTTAATTTTTTGGTTCATTGTGCTACACAATGTGGGTGGCCCAACCTCCATAGTTCCTTTGGCTTCATTATTATGTAAAATTAGTTTAAAAAATTTAACATGCATGGGTTGCACTTGTTTGATGACTTTGGTCCCGTTCAATTACAAATGTTACGATGTATGCAACTTGGGTCAGTTGGGTCAGGATGGGGTTCAATCCAAGCCTCATCCAAAGTCTTAAACCCTGAGTTTGGGCTTGAATTGATTTAGTTAATGGCAAAGAGTTAACTATAGATTAATTTAATTATGACTATAGCCTAATTTTATATATTTACTAATATTGAATTTTTAAATATTTAAGTGATATTTACAAAAAATTGAAACATTTAATCATTAATAAAATAAAATAGAACACTAACAAATAATGTGAAAAAATAATTTTATTATTAAGTAATTAGTAGTAATTATTATTTTTTGCTAAAAATGTTAATATAATTAGTCCAAATTACTAAATTACTAAAACATTTTTGTAATAAATTATTAAAATAAATATTTAATTATTTTAAACAACATTGCATTCTTTCCTTAGTTGTAAGCATTAGTTATTTTACTTTCCTTCATAAATCCTTTGCATCGCATGAGTCCTCGCTATTACGTATATTAAAGGAAGGTTTTAAAGCTACAACCCTAAGGATGGCAATATTCTCCATTTCCCCAATCCCCGTGGGGATCCGCCCCGAATGGGGTGGGGATGGGGATGATTTTCTCCCCGCGGGGACCCCGTTCCCCGCCCTGTGGAATCCCCACTAATATATATATATATATATATATATATATATATATATGTATATATGTATGCATACATTATATATGTATATATGTACACATACATCTATATATTAGTATTTTTAAAAATATGGTTGAATATGTTTGAATATTTTCTAATAGGATTGTAAATTTTAATTATTTTATTTTTATTCTTTTAAATAAAATAAAAAAGCAAAAACAAAATGGTTAACATTATAAAAAATCACGAGGAATGGGGATACCCGTGGGGACG